GAAACCAAGTTATCTTCTTCTTCTATTTCTAATGTGTTTGCTATTGATCATTTTAAGTTATTTTCTAATGAAATGATTGTGCATAATATAAAAGGTGTTGTTCATGGTCGTATATCAGTTTAATGAAATTTTGTTATTCTTTCTTTTTAAGTTATCAATACTAAGGCACAATATATTCATGGTTGGATTTTGTTCTTCTTCAGTTAATTTTTTATTCCTTTTATCAATACTAATAATAATTCATCTACTTGAATATACTATTTCTATTTCTGCTAATATTAGTGATCTTTAGTTGCTAATAAGTGACTTTAATTTTATTTAAAAAATTGATGAAAAATTATAAAATCTTTTTCTTATTTTTTTTAGAGTAATGGATTTGTATACCTTTGATTATTCTCTTATTTTTTTTCTATTGATGGTTCTTACAAACCGAGTTGTAGAGATATGTATAAGAATTTTTGTTGAATTTCTTTGATGTCTTTAATTTTGCTCAGAGTATTAATTTTAATTGTGATCCACTTTTTGTCATTTGTAACAATAAAATTAATTTTAAAAGTTTAGAATGGAATAGTTTTAATTTTATTTTGAACTCTATTATTTATATGAAGAATTAATAAGTGGAAATTATGAATAATATAGATATTAATCCTCTTTATAAAGATCTCCTTGTTCAAATTTCTTGTAATCTAAAATATTTAAATAACTCCCATTTCTGGTGCATATGGATGAAACAAAAAAAACTAGGTACTCTTGGCATTAGAAAGGTGAGAAAAAATATTAAATTTCCTTACCCAAAGGTTAAATTTAAGAATAAAAACAATTTTATTAAAGAGTGTTTTGTTGATAATAGATATATTCATCATATTAATGACATTGCCAATGAGGCCATTTCATTTTTTAATGATGTTCTTAAAATTCAAGTTAAATATATTTTTTCTTTTATTAATTATTTTCTTCTAAATACCTTTATTTCTATATGTAACTATAATACTTTATGAAAGAATTCTTTGATTAAGATTTTAATAATAACATTTATCATATTGGGAGAAATAAATCCCCTTACCCTGATACCTTTTCTAAAAATTTTTAAACCTATTTAGGATATTATTGGTGATTATTTTTGTATGGTTATCAAATAATTTTTTAGAGTATCTAAACTCCCTCGCATAGTTAAGAATTCTGACAACACTCATATTCCTAATAATTTTGGTTCAATAACTTTTAATGATTTTAGACTTATATCTTTTTGTAATACTATTTACAAAATTATTGCTAAACTTGTTGGTGATAGGCTAAAATTCTTCTTACAAATAATATTCACCAGTTTCAACTGCTTTCATTAACCGATGTGATATTACTAATAATAATATCTTGGCAAACTAGATGCTTTTTTATTTAAATTCTTGTAATTCTTTGAAATGTTTTTGGTCTAAAATTGATCAAAAAGGATTTTTGATAAATTTAATAGATCATTTCTTTATTATAGAGTAGAGAAAAACATTTCTTGGTGTTTATTAAGTGGATTAAAGCTTGTATTATTATAGTTAATTTCTCTGTTATAGTAAACTATGATATAAAGGTTATTTTCTTATTGTAGTGGTTTACGATAGAGATGCCCTCTTTCTATATACCTCTTTATTATAGTTATGGATTTTCTTTTTTCTCTTTTGGATTCTAAAAATATTATGCATATGGATCAAAATATTGACAATATTTTATACCTTACTTATGCTATTGATTTACTCATTTTTGGTAAGGCTAATGTAAATACTATAAATAATTTGAATATACTTGACCTTTTTAGTCATGCTTAAAATTTGACAATTATTTTTTCTATATCGCTATTTATTTTTCTTAGTCTATTAAGCCTTTATACAAAATTGCTTATGTGAGATTATTGGTTTTGATCTTGAACCTCTTCTATAAAATTATCTTGGTGTTTCTATTGATTATTTTCAATTAAATTTTGTTAATTGTCAGTATCTTATGGATAAGCTCATTCTAGCTTAGTAAAACAACTATTTTGTGTTGTTGATATGATTGGTTTCAATCTTCTGTCTTACCTAACATTGTTAGGAAAGAAATTTCATCTATGTTTAATAATTTTCTTTTTTCATAATAATAGTGAGAGGAAGATTAATACAATTGTTTGGAATATTATTAATCTTCCTAAACCTCATGATTGTCATGAAATTCCTTCTTTAGGAAATCTTAACACTGGGTGTAAATTTAAAATTATTTGGAGGCATTATATTTCCTTTTCATATGTTTTTTAATTGGTTCATTGCTCATTATGGCTTTATCTACATAATTCTACATCTCATATTTTCTCATTTTAGAAAGACCTGAAGAAGGTAGCTGATAACTTTAGAAGAAGTTTATATTTTAAAGTTAACTGTAGGGATATTATCATTTTTTATCCTTGGTTAAATTGTTTTATTCTTGTTAAAAAATGTGGTTGTTCAATTTTTTAATTGCTTTTATTATCCTAAAAGTGTTTTTGCTTAAAGATGTTATCATGGATGGTCAATGGCTTTTACGCAATAATAGTGATATTCCGATTGAATGCCTTAATTTATAGTATTCCTATTATTGATGGTAGTTTGAAATATATTAAGAAGGGCATTGATCACTATACCAATAAACTTGTCTATTACATCATACATGATAATTTACTTATAAGAGATTTGAATAGGCTCATTTGATATAAATGATATTTTATTAAACTGGCTTTACACTCTTGGAGAATTGTTCATGGTGGGTTAAAAAATTATGATATTCTCATTAATAGAAGCATAATTTTTAATAACAGATGTGTTCTTTTCTCTTGTGGCATTGACTCCCACAATCATCTTTTTTTTGTTTTTTGCTCATTTTTTATTAGAAACTCTGGTCCTTATGGGTTTTTTTTTTCTTGCTCCAAGTAAATTTTTTAAGTTTTTTATTTCACTGATAATGTTACTTGCAAAAATCATAAGTTTTTATTATCTTTTAACTGCTCAAAGCATTGCTTATCAGATTTTATAAGAAAGGAGCTATACATTTTTTATTAATAATTCTAATGTGATTGATGTGATTATTAAGAGTAGTCATTGGATTATCAAGCATAGGAGCAATAGGAAGAAGTTTGAACATATTATTTTACTAATTAAATTGTTGTTTTCTATAAGATTTAGCTAGATTTTAGTTTTTTCTTTGATATTATTGTTGTTACTTTGATTTTAGCCAATCTTGCTAAGATGCTTTGTGAGTTGAGTGATGTTTGGAGGTTTGTTGTTCCCAATATTTTGTTTTGGTGCTTAGTCATTTTTAGCGGTAATATTGCATGTCTTACCTCATTGAGTTACATGTGGTTAAATATGATTTCTAACACTGAATGGATTGCTTTTGTTAGAATTCAAACATATTAAAAGTTGATTGAGGTTTATTTTTGTGTTGATATGAAGGTTTTAGGATATTGTATTTTTATCCCTTTTATAGAGGTGTTGGTGATTTCTGATCTTGTTGGTTGTATATTTGATCATTTTAATAATCCTTTACTTCTTCTTCTACTGTGATATTGTGAATATCTTCTTTAAAGGATTGTAGATATCCCCTTAAAATTCATTATTTGTTGTTGGTACCGAACATTTTCTAAAATTAGCATCCTATTTTTCATATTTGTATTGTAGTTCATAATGCTATTGCTAGTGAATTTAGTTCTTCTTTGGTTTCTGATAGATCTTTGGGTATTTTTATAGATAAGTTCATTTATTGCACTTTAGTTTGGTTGATTTTGTGCTCAGATATTTTTCAGCATTTATTGAAATTCAACTAATTCATTATTTATATCTAGGTTATTTTAATTTTGATAAAATTCCATTTTATGGATTGAGTTTCAATACGGACTCAACCATTTAATCCTGAATGGTGCCATTTTCAATTTCTACTTTTCATTTTTATGAATATTTCTTATACTTGGTTTTCTTTCAATATTTGGTTATCAAACTATGAGGATTTCTAACCGTACATCAAGTCTCAACCATTCGTTTGTATATACTATGATATTCATATTGTGTACACTTTTCTTCGATAGAGGCTTAAAGGATTTGTTAGTTTGATTATTCTAAGCTCTTTATTTATTTTTTTCTCCTTTTATTCAATGCTTTGTTAATGTAAGTATTATTTCCGGTAGTATTGGAAACTATTGTTTTCTTTCTTTGCAGATTCTATTTTTTATACTGTGGAGATGTATTTGGCTATTGTTGGAAGGATTACTACAGTTTTTGTCAGTCTTTTCAAAAACTATTGATGCATTCTCTGGTTGGATAATTGAAGATCTTCATTTTTATTGATATAGTTATTATAAATGATTTTAGAGACGAAAGTTGACACTTTTACTTTTCTGCTCGAGATGGTTATAGAGATTTTAGGTCATATTTTCTTCTGTTTGTCTTCTTTATGCCTGAGTTGACTGTTCTTTTTGTAGTATGTGATGCTTTATATGATTTGTTTGTATTATTTATTTTAATTTTGTGTTGAGTTGTAATTTCTTTTCAATCACCTAGGCTTTTTTTCTTATACATTTTCTTAATAAAGTTGTGCTCATTTTCTTAAATTTTTTTTTTATGCATAAAAATATGTTTTTTCACTTTTAAAAGTTAAAGTAACTTCACTTTTAAGCTGCATGAAATATTTGGGTGGTATAAATACAAAATATAAAATTTAAATGTTTAGATATGTAAATACATTAGAACTGAATGATTTTCCTCTAAATTCCTTCAAAAATAAACTAATGACATGCATATTCAAAAACATTTTAATTGTCATTAGTTATAATTTCAAAAAGAAAGCTCTGACAAAAGATGAGTCAAATCAACGCATCTGACTTTATTTTTTGTTTGAACCCAATTTCTCACCTAATTTTTTCATATAGCATCAAAATTATCTCCATTCAATATACCTTTTTCATGCGATAAGTATGTCTAACTTAAAATATAGTTGTGATAAGAGTTGTCTGCATGTAAACTTTTTTTCTGGGTCATCGAACAAACAAACCCAATCAATGAATTGCAGTCAGCGTAATCAACGGCCACTGGAGCGCGAATTCGCGGCAGGAAGAAAACTTCCTCGCGAAATTTTTACCTTTTTTCAGTAGTGCCAATGTTTGATTAGGTTTAGAAAGTGTTAATATTTATAAAAATCATTTGAAAAATTTATGTTTTTTTTTAATCGACTGGAAACTTTTAGCTTCTTTACAACAGAAAGTGTTCACACTGAAAACTCGTCAGGGAGGGGTCGGAGGCGATGATAAAAAGCCATTGGCATGATCTCCATTTTCTCTATCCCTATTTGCTTCATTCTGCTCTATAGTATTTTTCCTTTGCAGCTTTTCATCTTTGGTGGTTGGATTTTGTTCTTCTTCTTCGTAGGATTTGATCCATTTCCTCCTCCATAAGAAACCTAAATCTTGCTTTTTGATGAGTTTTCGTACTCTTAGAGTAACCTCAAAGTTTGCATCTTTGGCTTCTTTCTCTTGCCTTTCTCTATAAATCACAGCGTTTTATACTGGAAGAGGGGTAAAAATAACCCTAAGGATGGGGATCACAAATAGCTTTGTTTTTGGGGGGAGAAGTTAAGTTGAACTTTTTCTCTCCTATACCAATTGGGTCCAAAAACTAGAGGTAATTTTATCGATATGAATATAAGTTTTGTTGTTTGGTTGTTTGTTTTTGGATTTGGATTTCGCAGTAAAGTTATGGAATTGACTGTTTCTACAGATTATGGTAATTAGAAAATGGAAAGGAGAAGCAGTTTTTTCATTGCTGCTGTGCGTTCTTGCAGTGGTGTTTCTGAGAGGAGTGGTGGCTCGCAGAGTTGGAGAGAGAGAAATTTTGTTACATGATGAAGGTCTGAGATTTGCACGTCTTTTGTTTTATTTTTTTTAATTTTATTTTTCTTAAGGTTTTATTGTTTTAGTTTTAAGAAGTTCATTTAATATGTGGATGATGTGAAGGTGTCATGATTGGCTTTGGGCTATTTCAAGATAAAAATGGTTACTATAAAATAAGAAGAAGAGTGATGGATGAAAACTAAAGCAATTGGGGTATCTGTAGGCTCTTTGATTGCAGGTGTTGAGCAGGATTTTAGCAAGATTTAGGTGCCAAATTGTAAAAATAAAAAATTTAAATCCTAGGAAATGTTAAATCTTAAATCCCATATTTACTAAATCTGGAGATTTGACAGATTTAACTAAAATCCATTGAGCCTGCTACCATGATGAACTGCTCTTCTCCTTCACATTTTGGTCAATTTCATATCTTCCTCCACTGAGCTTGCCTGTGGCTGCTTCTTCTTCTAATCAATACTTCTTTTAATTATTTACTTGAATTAAAATTTTGTATAACTAGTTAATCCTCTTTTCTCTCAAGTCCTAAATTATGAATATGACTGTTAAACGGTTTACTAGTATTTTGTCAGATTTAACATCTATTATATTGAATACTTCTTAGGATTTAACACAAAGAGGCAGTATGAGGCTTTTAATAGGATTTCACTGGATTTATTAAATCCAGCCGAATGGCAGGTTGTGGGAGTTCAGTGGATTTACAGATTCATGGATTTACTAAATCCAATTTTTCCTTCGATTTGGCTTAAATATCAGATTCTGTAAATCAGCGGGTTTAATGAATTTATGTTAGTGAATTTATGGATTTAACGATTGCCTAAATCCGATTAACGTTAAGTCCTACTTGCAGCCAAACAACCCCAAAGGATTTGCAAATCATGGATTTACACGATTTACTAAATCCTACTTGTACCCCAACAAGCCTATAAACTAAAAATAATAACTTTTGGATCCTCATATTTTATATTAAAACTTGCTTAGGGAAATGATATGTGAAGTTCTTTTCAAAAGTTGGCTAAAAAAATTTTGAGTGAATTCTAGTTTAGAATATGAAATTATCTTTTTTATTGCTTAACATTTCCTTTCAATTCTGATCTTGCAAAACAACAATAAAAAAAAGCTATTGTTATTTTTATTTTTTTTTCATTGAAGGCGACAGCTTTCCAGATTCTGCTTTAGCCCATATGACAGAAAGGATTGACCCTTTGGATCATTTGAAGAAATACAGAGGAGGCTTTAATATCACAAACAAGCATTATTGGAGTGTAAGAACAATTTTTCAAATTTCTGCCGCTCTTATTCTGAAAAGAAGTCTTGGAATATTTGAAACTGATATTTTATATGTTTTTCATATTCCAGTCAACTATATTTACTGGAAAATTTGGGTATATTATTGCAGTGGCATGGCTCATCAGTGGCCTTATTTACGCATCAATTGTGATAATTTCAATCTTCTATTTTAAGGGTAGAAGTGAGAAAAAGAGAGCCAATTTTTTTAAGAGACGAAACAATTGGTCTCTTCCATTTGCAGCTTTCCTTACGTTATTAGCTATGTAAGAAGCATACTTGTCTCATATCATCAATACTAAAAGAAGCACTGGCTAAAATGACTCCCTGGTGAGGTTGTTTTAGTTTCAGTCTACAAATGTATCAAATTGATCCTTAGACTTTTTTAATAGTGGCTGAAATAATATTTTATTGAATTGTTTTGGGATATTTCAGCCCATATTAAAAAAAAATTGGAACTATATTGCATTTTAATGGACTCTTGGATTAAAATGATCCCCTGCAAAATGGCTGAGGATCAATTTGGCACTCTGTTTTATTAAAAGAAGATCGAAGCTCTCAGAATCTGATAAAAATTCTAATAATTGCTCAACAGAATTGCATCAGGAGTGGCACTTAGAGGCAGTACTGGATTTCATTCAAGGGCCATTTTGATTGAAAACAACTTGGTACAGTCCTTAAATAATGCATCAGGAACAATAAGTAGAGTTTCAGAATCAGTTGAAGTGTTGCAGAATAACACACAACTTAGCCAAAATGTTGAAGACACGAGCAGTCTGGAGCGGACTTCGAAGAAGCTTAATGATGAGGCCAGCAGCATACAGATGAAGGCTGAGAGAATCATGCACCAAGTTACAATAGGGCTTAATATACTGTAAGAACCTTAATAAGAACAAGAAGAAATGAATATTATTAGATAAAATTGTTTGAACCATTTTTGTTCATATGCAGTAAATGAGATAAACTTTGTTGCAGGAACGCAGTGACTATTATTACCGTTACTTTAAACATATTTATCATCATTTTGTTGCTGGGTAAGTTAAACAATGGTTTCAGAATTCTTACAAAAGTTGGGATTTACAAGAAACAAACTAACTTTTTCATCATTTTATTATCTGCAGCATCGATCCCTTTCAATTTTTGCCAAATTTTTTGTGTGTAAGAAGATTGTTCTAATTTTCACTCTGATCTACAATGAAGACTAATTATTTACAATTGAATTTTCTGAGCAACCAAATATAACTTCATGGCAGGCTTATTATACTTTGCTGGCTACTTATATTCCTTCTTTGGGCATACTTTGGACTATATTATTTCTTTGGAAGGTAAGTCATATTATGCTTTGCAATAAACATATATTTTAATCTTATACCAACCATTTATATACTATTTTCAGTTTTGCTGGTGACACATGCATGGCTTTAGATGAATACCGGCAGAATCCAGAAAAGAGCACATTGAGCACAATACTTCCTTGCAACAACTATGGTTCTGCTGAGACAATCTTCCGTGATGTCGGAGAGCGAATTTATGATTTGATTCAACAGGTACTGAGTTCCTAGTTATATGGATTAAAACATGAATTAATGCAAATTTAATTTCTGATTGAACTGTGTGTGCGATATATATTTTTTTAAAAGAGTAAAGAATGTCAAAATCCTCAAACTATTTTTAATATGGGCCGAAATACTTTCACAGAAGACTTTCATCTTCAATTTAAAGGATATGTGGACTAATTGCACACTATTATAAAATTTGAGACTAAAATGACCCTATGTAAGCAGTCGGGGAACTATTGTTCAGTAGAAGCTTTGTTGTCCCTTTAGTAGGAACATGACGATTGATTAAAATTTGGAAAAATTGCAGGTGAACTCAAACATAACATCTCTGAGTCTATCGCTTTCAAAGCTGGAATATATATGCAATCCTTTCTCTGGGCCACCTGAGTACTACTACCATCCCGAAAATTGTTCTTCTAAAGCTATAAGAATAGGCGACATACCCAAGGTTAGTTTTCTTTCATATATATTATCTTGTTTTTTCAGCATAATCAGAAATGAACTAAACATGGCTTTCATTTTCATAACAATTCATGAAGATCATAGAAAAATTTGCATGCTTGGGGAGCAGCGATGGAGCCTGCAAGCCTGGGGAGTTCATACCTGCAAGCGTTTATGGAAAAGTTCAACTTTATACAGATTCCATGCAGGATATTCTCGATTCTTATCCAGAAATGGAGAGTCTGGTGGATTGCCAATTAGTCAAGGATGCATTCTCTGTAATCTTCTTTAATCACTGCAACCCACTGAAGAAATATGTGCACATGTGTTGGGCTTCACTGGCAACTCTCTCAACTATTTCAGTTCTTTTTGTTCTTCTCTATGCATCAAAAGTTCATCAAAAGAGCGAACCTTGTGCATCTAATAGATCAGCAAAGCCTGATTCTGTGGTTTCAAAGCCATCAAAATTTGGTGCAGAAATTGTTCCTAAACAGCAGAAACTTGGAGCAGTAGTAGGAAGAAAGGTTTGAGAGGCAACTCATAATTTATCTTTGTTTTGTTATAACAAAATTAATGAGTCGGCTTCTCGAGGGATGGAGATGGATCCAAAGGATCTCGTCCGCCCTTGCCTTCAAGTATTTTTCTCCTTTTATTTCATTAACCATGTGGTTGGAGAATCTAACCACAATTTCTGGTGACTCCTAAAATGTGATAGTTTAATTTGGTTGTAAATATATAAACATTCATATATAATGAGGAAGGGGTAGAATATTTTCTTCTTCTTTTTTTTTTTAACTAGGTTGGTCGAGTTAGAATGTTAATGAATGTTTTGCTATTTTCCTTAATTTTATATATTCCTCATTTAGTTTTGATTTCCAAAATTTCCTAGCAATTTTATAAAGTGCTAGAACTACGTCTTCTAATTGTAGTTTTCTGATGTAAATTGGTGTTCTAATAAACATTTCCTTTCCTAAATTATGGTTAGCAAATTAAGCTTTCAATTTTGTCCAACAAGTAGACAAATTCAAGTATGATGAGACACAAATGAGTGTGAAACATAGTCCCATATTGGGGGTGAAAAAAACAGGAGTTTGAGTTTTTAATGTGTCTGGTATAGCCATTCGCTTAAGCTTTTAGGTTTCTTTGCCGTTCATACATCGACACAATAAGCTCAAATCAGGCATTTGGTGGTCCTCTTTACTGAAAATGTTGCTGACTTCTGTACTTGTCTAAATTTGATTAGTCTATTCGAGATTATGGGTTCCATGTTTACATCTGTGATGGTAATTATGGATTAAATAGTCAATAATTGCGTCAAAATTCCCTTCAGGTCACAAAATGTTTAGAAAAATTGCCAAATCGGAATTGGCATGTCGATTTTTCATGCTTATCTCTCATATGTTGCAGGTAGACCATAGTATACGCCCATTTGATTGGGATGTATTGTAGGTCTACTTATGTCCAACATACCATAGCTCTAGACCAGGCAGGGCCAGTTCATGGTTGATTTCTCCTATTAATGTGACCAATTATGGGCTTCAATTTAAGTACATGATGGTGAGCAATAATGGAATGGGATGGTTTGATGTTCTGACCTTGTTATGGAGTGAATGAGATGAATACTTTAGAAATATAGGGAGTGAATAGGATTGATAATGAAGTATCTAATTGAAGATGGGAGTTTTCGGGTCAATTTTGAGCCAAACTGTGGTCGGGCTGGCAGGCTGAGTTTGAGTTTATTTCGAGTTAGTGAGTTAGTTTCAAGTAAATTTGGTTTGACGGCTTAACCCAAATCGGGCTCAAAAAAAATAAATGAGATAAGAATCTTTGTAAGAACTCGACCAAAATGATAAGGGGCAACCCAAACAGGAATCTTTTAAATTGAGTTGGATTGGAATTGTCAAGTTGGTTGAATTTTTAACAGCCGCAGGGATTTCTCTTGGGGCTGTTATGAAGTGGTGAATACTTACAGAGAACATGTAACAGTGATTTGGCTTACCAGTGGGGGACCGATGTTTTGTGCATGATGCCAGAGTTGTACGAGAGTGTAGGAGTGAGGTGGTAATGAGGGGATGGGATTAAAATATGGGTGGGGACCTCAAAACTGAGCGCTTCTAGTATTATTTTTGATGAGATGTGAGCAAAATGGAGATCTTTTCTTGAATTTAATGGATGATGATGAAAAAGGTTGATGAAGGATTGCAGGAGGAGATGGAATTGTGATAAGAAAATTAAGGAAAATTAAAAAAACTTGCACTTCATCAAAGAGACAAGTTGTATGAAAGCCACCATGCCTCACAGCTCAAAACCATGCCACCAATCAAGGTTTTCACCAAGGAAAACACTTATTTTAATTTTCATTCAATAATAGATGCTATTAGAGAAGTTTTTCACTCATTTAAATTAATACAATATAAAAGATAGAAGGCAAAATTCAAATAAAAAGGAAGGTGATTGGCTACGGTCGCAGGAGTGTTGAGGTTTTGCAAAAGTGCTCTTTCATTTAAACCCGTCTATGAATTGAATTTGTTACCATGGATGGGGCAACCTTCTTGGATTGTTGTGCCTTGGCGTCCTTATGCATGAATTGCATTATTAACCTCATGCCTTCCTATATAGCCTTTAATGCACTAACGGAGGTCACTTTTCATTATTGAAGTGCACTTATTACAGCCATAAAAATTCAAATTTACAGCTACAGTAATTTTCACACGAGAATTATTAGAAAAACTTCAACTAACACAGAGAGAATAAAAAAAAAAAATTGTGGATCTTTTCTTTGTATGACTTCTCTCACATTATAACCAAGCCAATACCTCTCATTGCACTCATATGAATCCGAAATTGTTTGTGGGACTGTTATCTTTTCTACTTTGTGAAACCCAGTGGAATCAATGTGATACCTTGTCCGAAAATTGTATGATTCAATTCTCATTCATCATTATTGAGTCTAAGATCATGGAGTCTCAAATTTACACTTCAATGAAGTCAAGAATAATGGCTCTAATCATATATGCTTTTCTTCGAATGCATAGAGACCCACATAATTTTATTTGGCTTGAACATTTGCAGGAATTTTCTTTTCTCATTCATTTTCACCTTAATGCCATCAACCAATAATTCAAGGGTGCATGCATTAATATGTGCCTTTTTTTTTTTGTTTATACCTTCACACTTCAGAGAATACATACAAATATTGTTTTTCATGGTACAATGCATTTGAACATGAAGCTTCACAGAATATCTAGTGTACCTATTTGTTCACGTTATAGATTTGTCTAGCATGCCCTTTATTACTTCTTTATGAGGGTGAGGTAGAGGCTGTAGAAATTTTCATCAAACTTGACATCTTAATAAACTATAACAAACCATAAATATTGCATGGATGCACCATTGGTAAAGGAATGAAAAGAAATGAACATAGACTTGAATGGACAAACTAGTCAGCATAGTCAAAGTAACTAAAATGGGCATGAGCTTGAATGATGTGAATGTGTGACTGTTATCATTATTAAGAACATTTTAGGGTTAGTATAACTAGTTAGTCTTATAGGAGTCTTCTTCACCTTTGTTTTACTTTGATCGGACAAAATTGGGATGTAAATATTGTAGGATCAATCCTTATGAAACCAATTACTAGCATTTTTCTAGAATGAAATCAGTTAAAATGAATCAATGATAATAATAATAATAAATATACAATTAGATCAAAGAAATAAAGCAAGTCAATTAAAATCTTGAAATCTGCTTAATTTTTAATAAAAAGTTTGGTAGATCTTGTGCAAAAATTATTAAATTATAAAGTTCACTCAAATTACATTGATTCTTAAATCAAAATTTGAATGGCATCATTTCGACCTTTGATTTTGGCCTTATCCTATAAAACAGTTAGTTCTTTAGATCAACTCAAATCTTTTGTCTCACACGACAAGTGGTTTGACCTAAGTCTCCAACATAAGGCATTCATGAAATTATTTAATAAAATGTCAAAAATATTTTAACTTTGGGATTCATTCTCAATGAGTTGGCAAAGAGCACACAATTGAGTTTGACCTCAAATCAAGCTTGATCAATTATCTATATGTCAAATCAGGATACTATTATTAAATTCCATGGATTTCCTTAAAGTCAAAGGTTATGATCCCAATTCATCAATCAAATAAATTAATAAGTGAGAAGAACTAAAATATAAATATATCATATTTGCAGGTCGCTTTGCGTAAAGTTTTCTAATTTCTATGCAAATAATAGTACTAATATATTGATGAATAAGACATCTAATTATATATTAATAGTTTTATTAATAAATTAATATCTATTATTTAGACATATCAAAAAAATCCCCCATATAATTTGATGCAAAACTCTCATCTCTCTGTTTTGGTTTTGAATCTATTATCCCCTTAGACACATATTTTGCAACATCAACAGTGAAGCCAACTATCTCAATGCTTGCATAACAAATCTTAACTTGGACTTTCAACAAACTTGAATTATTAAAAATCATCTTGGTACCAAATGAGTTTGGAAATAGATCATTTAATAGAATTTAAAATAAAAAATGTCAATAAGTTTTTCATATGACAAATATCGTGAGAATAATTTCTATTGTATTGATATTTGATCACAACGCCTACAAACTTTAAAATAAATGAGGGCAAACTGCTCTTTGATCCTGAAATTGCGATGATATTAAGTTTCTATCTAGATGAACTAACCTATTCTCACTTAAATATATGTATTTCAACTAGTTTCTTTCGATGAAGAGGCTTGGAGGATGGGTTAACAAGCAATATCGAGTAACCCATGAGGGGATCATTTGTCAAGAGGAGAAAATTTCATGGGCTTGCTTAAAAAAAATACTTGTTTATTCTTTAGTCTCACGATTAAATAATATGTCATTCCACTAATCAATGAATGACAATGCTATTTTTCAAGATCTCTAGTTATTGGAGTGACCCTCTTTTCCTTACATATGGTATGTTTCTTAGGTTACTTATGCTTTGTAAATGTAACCATTATTGACATTAAAAAAATTGAGAGAAGTGTTGCTCACTAGAGCTAGAAACCAAGGTTTAGTCTTTCTTTATTAATGAATATGGTAGGGAAGAGCTGATGACAACAAAGTTACTCACATATGCCAAAAATTAAGGCCTAGCCTATTTCTATCAATGATAAATATAGTGAATGCCAAAATTTAACAATGCTAGCCACTTTAACTAACGACCAATATCTAGCTTGTATTTATTGTTAATGAAGGTAGCAAAAGGATTAACAACAACCAGGTTAAACACACAAAATATTAACGTCTTCTTTACCTCTATTAACAATGATAGGAAAAAAACTAATGATAACTAAGTGAACTACTAATGCCAAAATCTAAAACTTATATCACCTCTGCAAAAAGACTAAACAAGAGCGAGTTAATCACAACTAAGCCTATCAATTGCACGAAAAATCAAGCTTTGTCTATCTTTATCAATAATTAAGAGAGACGAGTTGAAGATAACATGCAATAATTGCTATAAAAATAAGGCTTAGTTATTTTTTCTAACCAAGATAATGGAGGATGATAACCAAGAAAGTTATTGATATTAGTAGTTAAGGCTTATCTTTAAAGACCTTCGAACTAAGACAAAAATCTCTCTCTCCCATATGTCGGTCACCTTTTTGGTAAAATGTATTTTTTAATTTAATATAAATATATAATATTTGTTTTTTTGGAAAATAATATTTTAATTTTGAAAATATGAGACCAAACCGATCC